CCATACTGAGCCCAAAAAAATCCGCAATGAAAATATAACGTGTTTTAACATGATAATCTTAATAGCTTAATTATATAGGTACATTAAGTATATGAGTACACAAGTTATACATTTACATAAGTAAAGTTGAATGTAGGAAGAAATCACCCCGTGTTAAAAGTCACCCCTGTCAAAAGCCACCCAACAATGGATTATACCATTGTAAGGTGGGGGTGCACAATGTGGTGTTTGTCTTGATGTTGGTCTACAATAGGTTTTAGCTGTTAGTGCTAGGAGTTTTTTTTTGTATCAGACCTCTTTTATTCTTTTGTGTATTATGAATCAGAAACTGGGTGTAGCCTACCTAGGCATAAATATGATTTAGTACTCCAAATGCAAACATCATCATAGCGCTTCTTAATTTTCTTTTTCCGTCGATTAAATTAAAATGAAGTAGTTTTCACTGCTCTGTGATTCTTTTTACAGTTTTATTTCACGGTTCTCACTTTCTTTTATTGCAAACAACACAAAGATTAAAGTATCACAACATTTTACTTCCAGTGTATTGATGACAATTATTCACAAATAAATATTTGTTTTTTCTTTCTTTTTTTAATTAGTTTCTTTTTTTTAACATTTTTTTATTACTATTGATATAGTACTATAAAATATTATTTCCCTTTCTTCTTTATCATCAATGACAAATATCTATTGACTTACTATTTACTTATTTACTATTATTATTATTATTATTATTATTATTATTATTATTATTATAATTATTATTCCTATTAATATCAGGCATACTATTATTATTGATTTTATTAGGCCAAGTAAAAAAAAAACATGTTTTGCGTCCCCGCCCGCATCGTTTTTTTCGCCCGCCTTGATTTTTTTTAAATTTTTTATTTTTGGAAAATTCATGAAAATAAAGAAAAAATATATCGAAAATTTAGAATTTAATGTTGGAAAATAAATACCCTAGCCTAAAATAGTGCAATATCTTCGTCTAACCTTTTTTGTATAGTAAAGCTATGCCTAGGCTAGCCCAATATCTCTACCTAGGCCTAGGCTAGGCCGATATCTCTAGGCTAGGCCTAGGCCGTCGCCTACTCTGGGCGTCAGGCGTTTGTCATGCATACAATTGCCGTATTCGATTGGGACTATACGTTGAGTATGTTATCCCGTTGAGTACAAAACTCAACGATAAATTCCGAGCGTTAACTTCGTTGAGCAGTTTCTGTTGAGCAGAGCACGAAAGTCCCAATCGAATACGGCCGATGATTTCCGATGAATTCTGGAATTTCCCGTTATACTGGCCCTCTATGTCAGATTGTATGGAATAGTTTCATGTGAAGACGTCTGAGACGTAACATTGGGAACATTGTATATACAGTAACAATGATTCCTAAATGCCACTGTGAATAGAAAAAAGCTTATAATACCCAATAACACTCTTGCCAAATAAACAGTATACAGCTTCTAATCTTGTGTGATGTCTTTTTATATGTTGAACAAAACTAGATGGGAAATGTCAACAAGTCTGTAGAATGGCGGCCATTTTGAAAAATAAAAAATAAAAAATAAAAAAGGCCTCTTCCTCAATTTAAAAAAAAAGCCGGACGTGAAACATGTTTTTTTTTTTACTTGGCCTTATTATTAAGGTACTGTATGTCAAACATCAAATCGAAGCTATTAATTTACTGCAATAATTCATTATCCATCCTTATTCTGTATTATTAAACTGTTGTGAACAGATATATGTTAATTATTATAAACTTATATTGAAAAATTAATTGTATTTTTTTTGTTTTCATAAATCACAAACTGCAATACAATTCAATGTGACTAATTAAACAATTAATATTGAATATCATTTTCTATATGCCATCAGATAACACCAACATAGTTTGTTTAGTCAACTGACACTCAATGTTTATTAATAATAGAAATGTTATTCAGAAATAAAGGCTACATATTGAAATAACATGAATATTAAAACAAATATTAGTATTTATGTCGATTATTTTATAAACAATACAGAAAGATATAATTATAAATAGCTTTAATAACTTATTTTTCTTATTTTAATCTAAACATATTTATATATCAAATATCCATATTAGATCATTATTAAGTTATATATATTTCTCTAGAAATCGAACAATATTTTGATATTAAAAGTGTCATTGCTTATCTGAAATATTTTATTCAAATACGAATTCCACTGTACAGAGTATTGTTGATAGGCCTACTATACCAGATACATCTTATGTAAGCCTACTGCACATTGCCTGTAGTTAGAAGATACCACACCAGTATGTAACTGAGGATGTAAACATTAAGAATATTAAAATGATTTTAATGTTGTCAATATACTCATAAATAAATTTACACAGCTCACAAAACAGTTAGACTCTATTAATGAAAATAATTGACAGGGTTCAATTCCTTGAATGTCCTGGAAAAACAAATGAGCATTTTCCAGTACTGGAAAGTCCTGGAAATTTATGATTGTCCTTGAATGTCCTGGTAATTTGATCATTTACCATTTATCCAGTACTGCAGGTTGCCCAGTAACAGTAAATTAAATAAGAAACGTTCCCAAGATCATACTCTTGTGAGAAGCAGAAAAAAAAATTTATACGTATTTTAAAATTCTAAAATTGATTAAATAAGCCTTTGAAACCCCTAAATTGTCAAAATTTTCGGGGGCTTCGTCCCCAGGACCACTTTCGAGACCTTTTAATTGAACCTCGACTACGCCCACTTTGCTTTCGTCAGGGAAATCTGATCCCTCGTCGTGGCATCGGTCCCCCCGTCTGGGACCTCTGCACTGCGCCCCAGTTGGGCATATCCTGGCTCCACCCCTGCAATTAATGTAACCATGGGTACGTGTACTTCTACAGTTATTTTCTTACACTGAATGCCATTTGTGTTTAAAGGAACTTTACATTTAAAAATCCTTGATATTTATAGCAAGGTATTTCATTAATTATGTTTCGGAAGTTTACAAAATCATTGAAAGACCAATGCCGGTCGGCAGTCTATCAGTGTCGATAAGATGGTGAGAACTCTGTTGTACGTTAACATTTGCTGTATAGATTATAAAGGTTTACGTAGGCCTACAGCATTATCGTGTTTAAACACGTATAATGCTATTAACAACTAAATAAAATTAACAACTAAAGCCTAATAATAATTGCCCTATATATCAATAATAATGGGCCCAATATTAATGAATATTAATAAATAATAATACAGTAAATAGTATGATGATGTGTAGAGAACTATAGAGCATACGATTATTATTAAATAATACAGTAAATCATTAGTTTATACATTTATAAACACCTAAATATCAGGGGCGGATTTAGGGGGTGGGGTGGGCCGGTCTGGCCCCGGCTCCCCCTTTTGGGAGGGGAAAAAAAAGAAAAAAAGAAAGAAAAAGATCCGCCCCTGAATATATATGAAATAATATAATTTAACGTCTCCACAATGTACCCCTCGAGACAGTTATCATTCGCTGATCAACAACCCTGGACAAGCGTGTACTCCACCCCGCGGCGCACAAAGCGAGTTATCTGGTGCGTCCACAAAAGGCACTGACAGGTTTATGTGATAAGATAAGACCATTTTTGTACGCGCACATTTGCGTGCCGAGCAGAGTATTCTACTCCAGTTCAGCCCTGCCTTACTTTAGCGATACTTTCCCATGCTCGTGGGAACTCCTTTGCCCAACGAATTTTTACACGTCTCAGAAAAACAGAATTTCTACGAGTGTGAGAAAAAGAGACAGATCAGTCGGCGCCGAATTAGCCTTAGATACAACTTAACATACACTTAACTAACATGCATTTAAAATTAGTACAGCATACATGTTTTATAATCAATCGTAAAATCGCCGATATTTTCCTGTAAAGCGATATAATGTGTCCTTGATATTTGAAAAAATTTTACCTGGAATGTCTTGGAATTGTCCTGGAAAATTTCTTTTTTAAAAACGTACGAACCCTGAATTAAAACTTAAATTAATGTACTCTAGCTTTGGGAGTGCAATAAAATTATACATACCGGTAGCTTATCAAGCTAGGCCTGTATAAATAACGATGCACTAATGTTAAATGATAAAAATTTTCCTGTAAAGCGATATAATGTGTCCTTGATATTTGAAAAAATTTTACCTGGAATGTCTTGGAATTGTCCTGGAAAATTTCTTTTTTAAAAACGTACGAACCCTGAATTAAAACTTAAATTAATGTACTCTAGCTTTGGGAGTGCAATAAAATTATACATACCGGTAGCTTATCAAGCTAGGCCTGTATAAATAACGATGCACTAATGTTAAATGATAAAAATTGCAAATAAGTTAATTAATTCATTGATTAATTATAAATTAATACGCATAGGCCTACTACTGTAATATTACTAAAATAGGCACAGTAGAGGTGTCTTCATTTTATGTATTTTAAATGCCATTTTCATTGTCATCACGATCATCATCATTGTGGTTTATATTATTAATATCATTATTATTACTCTTTGTTTTGCCTTGAAACCCCGACTTTCTGTATGAAAGCCAAGGGCGATCTGGAGAAGCTGAAAGTGGGGTCAATCGAGACAACACTGGTGGCATTCCCCATGAAATTTTCCCCTGTGAAATGTTTTTAACCTAGACGCCCAAAACATTTTTTTATCTTGCTTTCCAAGATAGGGGGCCCCACCCCAAATCAGCCCCTGAAACCAATGTCTTAAATGCTGAGCCACATGTTTCTGCATCATGCATTTCCCAAAGGCTTTTTCCAGACAATTTTTTTTTGCTCTATTGTTGAGCTATATAAAGTTTGTACTGACAAAATTTGGTGCTGTTCAGAGCATTTATTATAATGATAAATTTCATGCATGACCGCATCACCGACAGTCGGAGCATCAAGTAGGATTGAATTTATACACATTATCAATTACAATGTTTGTTTCTAGTTCAATTTCTATAATGATTTGAAATAAATATTTTGTTTTGTAGGATGGATGGATGACATTAATAAGTGCATCATTAAATAAAAATCCTCAAGTCGTTGAAGTTTTGATTCAATGTGGCGCAAATCAATATTTGAAAACTAATGTGAGTATATTTTACTTGATTTGTTTTATTGAGAATTCACCAATTGCTTGATAGTATACATCATGTCGGTGCTGTGTAAACCATTTGGTATGGCACAGCAGGAATGGTTTGGTTTCTCAACCTCGAGGTTACAATCCCTCCCTGTGCATTTCACTTTTGTCCTTTAGCAAGACACTTTATCTGCATGCTTCTCTCCACCTGGTACCCGGTACCTAGTCGGGTTGCCTGCTCTTTCACTGATTACCAATAGCAACACTTAAACCAAGTGGACCCAATGACCTGGGTAAACATTGTGCTATATAACCTCAAGGAAGAGGCGCATTAAAAATACCTATGCCATTACCAGTCATGACGATTGTAACATGAATTTATTAAACACATAATTTATACTTTAAAAAGATGCATTACAGATAATTATTTATCTGGAATGCAAAAAAGAAAAAATTTTGTATTGTTTTTTGTTTTGTTTTTAGTCTTTTAAAATATGTAATATGTGTTTGAATTGGTAACCAGCAGAGTTCCCCCTTATGGACCCTTCCCTTATGGACCCTTTAAATATTTTGGCTTTTATAAATTCATGGCTACAGCGTCTGAACCAAAATGAATGGTATTTGAGCAATAATTGTTCTAATAATGTCCTCATTGTAAATTATTAAAATTACTAATAACCGCCTGTTATCTTCCTTTATAGTGTTGAGTGTTATGTTGTAACCATAGGTAATCTCAATTTTAGTTTAGTATAATTTTTTTTTGTATTTTTTAATCCTTGAATTTATTCATTTATTTTTTTTTACTCCAAATTGTGCTGTAATTGATGTCTGTATTTACTTGGGAATTGCAGTCCTACCATGGAGATATATTTTTTCTTCATTTTGGGCAATACACCATCATTTAAATGACAGTATTGTAACATTGCAAACACCAAGAAAGGTCTGCCTTGCCTTAGAATATATTATAGTCGAGTTTATACAAACCCGACTTTTTATTACAAAATCAATGTTTAAAATATTCTTTTCTTTTTCCATTCTCTTCACCATATACGGCAATAAAATAATGCTTTTAAAATCACCCACTTACAGTACATACAAATACATGGTTCTTATCTTAATTTCACAGGTTTTCTTAAACAGCTAATTAAACATCAACTTTAGCAGCACAAAATAAATTGCATAAAAATTTACATAAGTATAAAATTACAATCGATCAGAAACAATTAAAAACAATCATGAAACAATTATGTATCAAAAAAAGGAAAAAAAAAATTAAAATAAATTAAACTTCAATCTGATAGCATGGAAGTAGCCATGCTACCAGAATGCTGTACGAGAAGGCTGAAAGAATTACATTGGGATGTGTTATAGTCAAGTTTTATACAACTGATGAATGGTGTTGAATATAATATAAATACAAACCCTATGAAATAATGTAATTTAAGAATTAATTAATTTAAATTAATATTACACATTTACTTTTAAACAATTTTTATTAATTAAATGTAAGTCTTAAATATTTGTTGGTTGAAATTTCAATATTATAATATCATACAGGCTGTTTGCTAGTTGACTCATTTGCATAATTCACCAGACCATGTCCCATCACAATGATGTAATGCTAATGAATATTCATTGTCAGACATTTGAAACTGCAAAAATCAGGAAACTGCTGAAATGACACCACAGCAAAAGCAATTCCTAGATAGCACATGTGGGTTTCACCACAACAAATCTTGCATGTTGTAACCTCCTACTATATGGATAGGTTAAGTTCAGAATTGGACCAACATTTTAAAGTCCAGAATGCAGAAGTTTTTTAATAACAGTTGCTGATTTTATGAGTTAAACAATTTTTTTTTCTTGTCATTGTCAAAATGTTTTTGTTACCTTGCGTTGCCCACTGGTTTTCAGGGTAAGCATCTGACCTACAGTAGGGTTTTTCTTGAATGGTTTTTCCTGTTAAATAAAATGATAGAGATGAAAAGTAGCTAATACGCTAGAAAATTTAGATTGTACCTCAATGGCCTAGATATTATTTTACTCTATTTCAAAAGGAAAAATATTCTTCAAGGCTGAATTTAGAGAAACAATGCTCTTCCAACTTGGTGAATCTTCAACCTTTCAATACAGCATAGGCCTTGGCTAGCTGGGGTACTGTAGCATACATAATCCTGATATTAAGTGTTTAGAATGCGCTTTTTATTACAATAGGACAGCAGCTACTTCATGAAGTTCTTCAGGATAGTTGATAGCAACAAAATTTTGTAAAAATGTGTATTTGATTTTATTTATTTATTTATTTATTTACTCAAGACTCAACAGTGTATCAAAAACACCAATAACAGAGTCGCCATAAAAATATACAATATCATTCATAAAAATATATAAGATTAAAAAAAACAAAACATAAAAATCGTAATAATATTAAAAACAGGTATTTAGTATAAGATTAAAAATAGAAATATTACAATTAAAAATATCAATATTAGGAAAAATTTGAACTAGATTATTATAAGAAAGTGCAACACGACGAAAAATACCATTAGTACAAACATTAACATGAGAGTACGGAACTTTTAACAAATGATTGGTACGAAGCCTACGCACAGGAACATGAAAGAAAAAATTCGACACAAGGTTACAATCAAACTTACAGTTTAGACATTTAAATAGAAAAATAAGATCGTTTCGTTTTCGCCTAGTCGATGGTAAAAATTTTTCGCAACTATGAATCCGGTCTATTCTAATAGAATAAGTATGAGATATTGAGTTGTAGATAACTGAACAGAAATCAAGGGATGGAGTAATTATTGATGTATATAGAGTAAATTTTGCTGATGGTGTAAGAAGTTTATAGAAATAAACTAATCTAATAATAAAATTTATCAAGTATACATTGGTATTTTATAGGAATAGGCTTTATAGATGCTGTATTCACTCAGATACCATAGATTGCTAGTAATTATATGACTTTATTTTCTGCACAATTACCGTTGAATTGTAAATATACAGCGCCCTCGCACCGATACATAAAAATCATAAAAGTAAACAAAACTCTTTCGCAATTAACTAATTAATTTAACATAAATAAGGTAATTTCACTTCCAGTGTATTGATGACAATTATTCACAAATAAATTTGTTTTTTTTTTCTTTTAACATTTGATATACTATATTAATAGTTACAGTATTTTATCAGGTTTTTGTGATACTTGTAGAATGCAATAACTAGATTTTCTTTTTTATAGTAATATTTCACTTTCTTCTTTTAAAAACAATCATTATTTATTATTTAGTATCAGAAGCAACAGAACTTTAGTAGTTAACTACTAAATAATAATAATAATAATAGTAATTAATTACAACTAAATATTTACTATTCATTACTACTGTAAATATATTCTTGACAAGTGCTATAAAGAGCCTATTTGACTGGTGTCATCTGTGAATGCACAATAAATGTTGATTTTACAGTTTTTCTTACTTGTGCAATACTGTACAACATCATTATAAATGATGTTTACCCAATATCATGAAACTTCAATCTGATAGTATGGAGGTATTATCCATGCTATCAAAATGCTGAACGAGAGTTGTAGAGAATTACATTGGGATGTGTTATAGTCAAGTTTTATTCGACTGATGTTGGTGTTGAATATATATAAATACAAACCCTATGAAATAATGTTATTTAAGGGAGAATTAATTTAAATTAATATTGCACATTTACTTTTACCATTTTTAAAAATTAATGTAAGTCTTAATATTTGTTGGTTAAATCTAATATCATTTTTGTGTTACAGGCTGTTTGCTAGTTGACTCATTTGCATAATTCACCAGACCATGGTCTCATCACAATGATGTATTATGATAATGAATATTCATTGTCAAACACTTGAAAACTACAAAAATCAGGATACTGCTAAAATGACACCACAGCAAGAGCAACTTCTAGATAGCATGTGCATTTCACCACAGCGAATCACGCACGTTGTAACCTTCTACCACTTGGATAGGCCAGGGAACATTTTAAAGTAAGTCTACAATCAGACCAACACATAAGTTACTTTTATATCACTAACCTTCTTGACAAACAATCCATCTAATCATAACCATCCATTTCATGACTGCACAATAAATATTTCAGTGTAGACCAGGTAGTGTTAATGTCCATATTTGCTACTATCAAGGTGAACGAGGTTCACCTTGATTTTACAGAGGGAGAGGGCTTGTACTATGATTTTGAGCGAATTTTGAAGTCATTTCTTTTTCTATCAGGGCCTTCATTTTTGGCGCGATTTCTATCAGGGCTTTCATTTGTGACGCGATTAGGATGATAATTGTAATATAGAAGAGAAGGCTTGGGAAATTTAAAGTATGGAAAGAGTTTTTCGAAAATATTGTTGGGAAATCCATGAAATTGTATGTTCTTACATCATATTTCTTGCCATTGGGATAGATTTCTTAAGAAAGGGTGTTCTTCATTGGTCAGATTGCAAATGCTCTCTATATTCCATATTGTGTGTATCAACCAATCACAGCCTAGAATTATGGCATGCTTTATGGCAAATAATGCATCTGTGTTGAGTCTAGATAGCAATACTTTATGTACTGCTGTTTCGTAGTGCTTGCAAGGCTGGGTGGTCTAGAATATGAAATAATACTTAAAGAAATTATTATGATTTTTTTGTCCCTCCTCTACTCTGTTACTCTTAGCAGGATAATCTTGCTAAATTAAAAAATAATATTTTTATATTTCTCCCGCCCGCCGCTAAACTCTAAAAAAATTAGATGTGCTAAACAAGATATTAAAAAAATATCGTCTTATAAGCCAATACCTGATTTTCAAAAAAATTAGATGTGCTAAACAAGATATTAAAAAAATATCGTCTTATAAGCCAATACCTGATTTTCAACAGAAATTTTGTACAAAACAGCCTTTATTTTCAAAAATATGTGGGCGGATTTTTAGGGTCAATTTATTCGGCCATGCAGGCCTTATTTTACAGTCAGGAATATGCGCAAGAAAAAAGTCCTTGGTATGAGTATTTTAATTGCGCAGTGAATACTCTAAAACGTAAGGAGATAATGTGCAAGCAATTTAGAATTGTGCATTAACAGTTAGGCGCGATCGCCAAATTATTCCAGACGGCAAAAACGCGTATAGGTCAACACACTATCACGAACGCGTCTAAGAAATAAACCATTTTAATTACCACGCTATATGAATATTCATTTGCTATAAGCTTGAATTATGGCTCGCGTCTGGATGATGGTGAATTGTTTGGACGCTTGTTGATCGTTTGAATGATTTTCTATTGTTTACTACTACTACTAGCACGGTCAATTGGCCCACTTGAGTGCGTAGAAATACTGGCGGTTCAAATAATGTTATTATGCAGCTCCTATTCTTTCTTATACGTACATGTGACTATACTTCCTCTAACAGTGCTTATATGAAGCTATAATGAGATTTGTAAATTACATGATGACAACATGCCTGGAGGTCCAGGGTGCGGTATGCGCTAAGGGAGTTCCATTGGAACGCTGCTCTGTAGATAGAACTACGTCGAGACTCTAAAAGTAGCGCTGACGTTTTCTTTGCTGAAGTCAAGGCGGGCGGGTATATTAGCATTATAAATCACAAACATACTTCAAACTTTAAGTGCCATGGTATAGTCGGCGTTACATTCTGGCCTAAATATAAAATCAAATCTAGGCCTAGGTAGGTAGTCTGCCTATCTTTTTATCCTCATGCACGGATGGATACTCGCACTTTTCACAAAAGGCTACAAAATAATGTGTCCCGTACTGTGTATACTATGCAGCAGTGCTTTTTCTTTACTATAAGTTTTAATGTAGGTCCTCCGAATTGAGAGATGTATATTTGGTTGGCTAATAAAATGTAGATAAAGACAATAACCAGGACAATAACTTGTCATAATCAGTGTTCTCCCCAGGGCAATAAGCTGTAACGGCCCATTACAGCTTCATTCAGAAAACAAGTTTACCTGACTATATTCCTACCTTTTAAATTCATTGTGCCTACATCATTCTTCCTATTTAACCTTTTAAAAAACACAGTTTATTAATTGTGTTCATGTATACTCATGATGACATAGGTTTTTATGTGTTATATTTCTAAATAAACATCAACAACTTCAGACATTCTCAAGTCTAGGCAGTGAAATTTGGCCCTCATCCAAAAAAAAAAAAACAATCACGCACCAGTGGCACTAGGTGGAAGGTCGACCATGTGGCTTTCTCTCCTTGTGCGTAATTTTTTTCTTAAACTTGCTTTCTAATTTATCTAAATTATTATGTCTACGTGGTAATAGATAAATTTCTACAAAATATAATGTTTATTAATTGTTGTTTTATTTTTTTAATGAATTATTATTAACGTATTAGTAGTACATGCAAATTTGCTATGTCAAAAAGGCTCACCACACACTGCCACACATGTTTGGCTGTGGTATCTCTCAGTCTATTGTCATGGTTTAAACCAAATGGCAAGCTTCTGATAAGGTATCTCTTTGGCAGTTTGAGCAGAGATCGTTTCAAGAGATACCTAGGCCTGGTGGGGTGTCCCAAAAGCTCAGACCACGAAAGCTAAGACCTAAGACCACGAGATATCAGACCAACTCGAAATATCAGACCCTGCAAATTAAGACCCTCAACTAAGTATGCCAGGATTTCTAGACAATACCTTTATTCGAAAGCTAACGTCAATATAAAGAACTGACTAATCATAAAATAAATACCATTAAAGTAACATCGATAACAGCTAGGCCTCTATTTGCGACGTTTACTGGAGAAAACTAATACAGTACAAACAGCGGTGGCGCCAGGACCTGCCCGACGGAGGGGCTAAAGGCCCCGACGGGAGGGGGGGGGGCTAGTGGAGTGAATCGAGTCTCACTTGGCTGAGGGCCAGGAAGCCAGGATATTTGATGAATTATGGCGAATTTTTATTACATATTTGATAGGCATTGAGTTACTATAATATGACTTCATGTAGGCTAGGCTTTCTAATGTTGAAATCAGCTTCCAAAACCAAAACATTTTGACTAAAGCAAGAAACAAAGAGTATGCGATGTAACCAACTAATTTATTTTCAAATCCTCATTCTTGAAAGTGAAATTCTATTTTTTGGAAATTTGGCATGAAATCTGTCAACCACGCTGTCATGGTCGAGGTTGCTTCACATATCGCGATGTATTCCAACCATCATGAGGCTATCTAAATGAGCATTTGTCATAACAGAACGCAAATTATTTTTAATTAGTCTCATTTAATTATTATCATTATTATTATTATTATTATTGTTATTGTTGTTGTTGTGATGAAAAATTAACACAAACAGTATGGTGGCTAAACGATTATTACATGTAAATATTTTTTTTATTTGTTTGTTCCCCGACAAAATGTATCGGGGGGGGGGGGTGGAACGGTTTCGGTACGTTTTCGATAGCGGTTTCTAATGCACATCTATCGTGGGAATACTGTATCCGATAGTTTGTTGTTCTTTTTACATTCGCCTTACCTTTCTTTACTTGCTACTTTTTTGTTTTACTAGCATAGAACATGAAACCAGGACCAGTGGCGGATCCAACGAAGGGGATGGGGGGGCATGAGGGCCCGTTCCCCCCCCCCCCAATTCAGTCAAGCCGAAAATTTTGAGTTAAAGAGAGGAAAAATTATATAACCCATGAGTTCAGTGGCGATTCAGCAATGGCTCGATTATTTTCCACTTTACACCAACCATGGTGGGGCTAAGGTGGGCGTGGCGGCGAGAACCTCATATTGTTCCAATATTAATATTAATTAATAATTCATATTAATCCAATAAATAATTCTGCTCATAAATTTAAATTCCAAAATTCAACACATTTATTTTAAATTTTTATTTTTTTTACCGAGATACCAAGTGAGTCCTACACTGCCTTTTTACCCCAAAAATGAGGCATGTCGTGGCAAAATGGTTAAGTTGTCGCACAGGCCAGTATTGAGTAAATGAGCTATCAAATATGGGAGCTCAAAAAATTGCCTAAAAATCCAAATTTGTTTTTCATTATAGATCAAAAGTTTAATGTCTTATTAATCATGTACCAAAGTATTAGTTCTGGAAGTGGTCAACAAATTGTTTATTTAATGTTATTTTGATAGCTCATTCTATTAAAACAACGTATACACAAATAACTTTGAAAGGCAATTACTCAAAATCATGTTTATCTTGACTCTAAGAGTACTGTACGTTCACTTTCCAATAACTTAGGCTTGAATTGTCCAATTTCAATGAATGACCCCTCATTTTAAAGATCACATACTCAGGTATATGAAAATACCAACAACTTGAATTTCAATTTTTGCTACAACTTGGCCATTTTGGCACAACCTGCCTCAAATAGGTTGTGACGAACATAATTTTGTTTTTTTTAACTGAGATACCAAGTGAGTCCTACACTACAAGATTCAATCACTATCACAAGTTTTGGATGGGGTTTGCATTGTTTTTTTGGAGGTTTGCGGGGTTTAGCAATTTTTTTATACAAAAAATGGCCTTTTTACCCAAAAAGTAGGTTGTGACGAACATAAAATTATAATTTTTTTTTACTGAGATACCAAGTGAGTCCTCTACTACATGATTCAATCACTATCACAAGGTTTGGATGGGGTTTGCGGGGTTTTTTTTGGAGGTTTGCGGGGTTTAGCAATTTTTTTATACCAAAAATGGCCTTTTTACCCCAAAAATAGGTTGTGACGAACATAAAATTACAATTTTTTTTTACTGACATACCAAGTGAGTCCAACACTACATGATTCAATCCCTATCACAAGGTTTGGATGGGGTTTGCACTGTGTTTTTGGAGGTTTGCGGTGTTTTTTAGGTATTTTTAACAAAAAATGGCCTTTTTACCCAAAAAGTAGGTTGTTACAAACACAAAATTATAATTTTTTTTAACCGAGATACCAAGTGAGTCCTACACTACATGATTCAATCACTATCACAAGGTTTGGATGGGGTTTGCACTGTTTCTTTTGGAGGTTTGCTGGGTTTAGCAATACCCGGCCCTATACATTTTTATTAGTTTATCACCCTATCTAGGGTGGGAAAGTGATGAGGCTGAGTTTTTTTTTTAATTTTATTTTGCTTAAGCCAGACATACCCTTGGTTTGTTTGCTGGTGCATTAATATTCAAGTAAAACATGATTGAGATTGTACCAACAATATACTATTTAATTTTTAAAAATGAAAAAAAAAAATTTTTTTAAATAAATAAAAATTTATTTATCTTTTTTTTTGGAGTATTATAGAATACATACGCGTGAGGGTAATAAACTAAAATTTTTTTTAAATTGGGCCTAATAATTAATTTTATGACCTTAAAGCAGGAATGTTGCAACTGCGGCATCGTGGAATATGCGCCGAACGAGGTGTCGCCGCGCATATTCCCATTACACCTTAAAAAATTCCTGGGGAGAACACTGCATAATGTTTTTTTTATTTTGTTTTAGTTGTTTTTCTTTCTCTCTTTTATACATTGATCGCACCAGATTTGTGTGTGCCGCTGAAACAAAAGTGTATGTTCAGTTGAATAAATAAATAAATTACAGTAATATCGCGAGTTGTCAGTAAAACCTTTACTGTGTAGGCAATGGTTTAGCCTTACATGTTTTTTTTTAGAATTCACAAGTTGAAATTCGCGGGGGAAATTTGTCATAAAAAAAATGTGTTTCGCATGAAATTCACGTAAATTTAATTAATATATGTTGATTTATAAAATGTAATTTAGCTTAGTATAATGTAAAATTTCATCTACTTTAATCATGGACAACGTTTTCGGAGGCATGGGTCTTAGCACGTGATCCCTTCCTTCAATGGCAAGGAGCGCAATTAATTGCTGTGCTGGATGTTACCAAAGCTGCACAGGAGGATGATTGCGCTTCTTAAAACTGATGATGGCATGCGACTACATTGGAAATAACTAAAAAATCAGATTTTTTAATGTTATATTTGCTCATCAGTTCGTAAAATCACTGAATATTATGATAGTCTCACCTATGCACGGTACTAGGCCTACTGAACAACATCCCAGTACCCAACCGACTATTTTTTTAGCATTGACCAGGGACCTCCCTGAGTTTACATACTTCTGTCAGTTCTTGCACACACAGGTGGCGTACAAAGAGTGTGCATTAACAGGTAAACAAATCCGTACTTGGGTATAGCGGCGCGCAGTCAGGCGTATTATGATTCATTTTAGAGAGTTGTCTATAATAATAATAATTAATAATAATTGGACGCGTTTTACCTAGCATCCAATCGGGTAGTTAAAGGGGAGGAGCAAAGGCCAAAACGGAATATCGGCGTCCAAACGATGCACTATTCAAACAGTGTTTTTAGACGCGTTTTGGTAGAACAATAGAAAGCACCTTTGAACACAGATTTGTCTTTTGGAATAATTTGGCGATCGCGCCTAAATATATATTAATAAAAAATACATTTATATGATTCTTGTTCTTAAAATAATTACATTAATGATTAACATTAAAATTTCATTATTTGACCTAATGTTGGTATTAAATAATGATAGTAATAATAATATTAAAATAATGTTTTTATTTACTATGGACAAGTATTATTCTAGAATTAAAATTTACATTTAATGTTTGTAAATATAAATGTTGCTTTTCTTTTCCTAATTCTGGTTTTTTAATGAATGTATGTATTTTATTTCAGTAAACATTTTGTAGAACGCTGAACATTGCAAAGATTTCAGCAAACCGGTGGACTCATCCTGCTCAGCTCAATGGCTATAATGTTGCTTTCTTGTTTTGTGCTTGTTAATTCTGCTGAATGGTGAGTGAAAAAACTTGTTCTTATGAATTTCTTGTCCGTTGTAAAAGCTTTGTGGGATAACGTTCGACCTGATTCATCACTAAGAATAAACATTACAATTTCAATATTACAACACAAAAACCCTAATTAAATTATTTTAAAATATATTAAAATAAAATTTTCATGAAATAAGTTTTTAATTGAGATTAATATAATTAAGAGGGTAATACAATTGGAGAGATCAAAATAATAATATTATTTCATTTATGTCATTAATATGATGAAACAATGAACAAAACTATATAAAGTGGTTTTCTAGTATTGCCCTTGACAAACTATTACAGAAAGTGAACATTTAGACCCATTAAGAACTTTGGAGAGATATTTATGTTTGTGACATCAGAAATTTAAATGACCCTCACATTTACACCCTAAACTGGATCATGCCCAACACATAATAATTTCTTCCTTGTAACTTAGTTAAACTTTCCCATATGTTTCGTTTAGATTAGTTGATCAATTTTCGAAATATCTGGTCTGGGACGTTTTCCTTTGAATGGTCCTCATATCCATACCCTACTGTGGATTGTCACTAAAATTTGATCATTTCTTTATTTGATATTTACCGTTAATTAGTTTGGCATGGAGACCTTTTATATAACAACTTTTATTCAAAAACAATAGTTGTACTGAATACAATTTACTCTACAGTTTCCTTAACAATTTATTTCTCAATGGTGTTTTTTCGCGCAAGTCAGTTCAAATGAATGTTGTGGTTAGATAAGATGTTAAAATCGACTGCAATCAGAGCGAACTTGGGCCGGCTCAAGTTCGGCTTATGTTCAGATATAAAGTTGAATCGGCCCAGGGCCGACGTAACTCTTAAGTGTGATTGGGGTCTTAGATTGAGACTAAATATTAGGAGGCACATCCTTGATATATGGTCTATGCTTCGACAAATCATGGAAAAGTTCCAAGCATGCATGGGAAGTCCTGGGGGTGGGGGGAACCCAGTGCAAAAAGATAGGAAAAAAAATCAGAACAAAAACAAGGCCTTTTTAGCTACTGCTGGGAAAAGGCAATAATGATATAACAACAGCTCTTAGTAGAGAGCATCTCTGCCTACCACCAATCTCTTTCTACAAAATAAATCCTCAAAAATATGTTTCTAATTTCCAACCACCATCTACTTAAAAAAATTACACTAACACAAAATGTTCATTTTAAGATCAGACGTTTTGCTTTTAATGGTCCTATATCGACATCAAAATTTAAGCATTGTTCGAACGCTTCATTGTGTCAGTTGTACACCTGCCTATTCCTTACATCTTCTGGCTTAACACGCTGGTACGTTTTACTCTTATAGCTGACCAAAAAAATACCTGCCATGTATTGTATTGATGTTGAAGTGGAAATATTATGCAGATAGAAATATGAGGATTTGGTTTTTAGCATCACATGTTTAAATGTAAAGATGCATTAAAAATATTTCCAATCAGTTCTGAAAAAAGTGAAGTTAGTATATAAAACGCTGTATACCTTTACTGTAATTGCACTAATATATATATTCATTATCTATTGTTTCTGCCATGTTTAGGTCTTAGACATTTTAAATGACCCTCAAATTCACCCCCAAATTTGGATCGTCATCAACTTGGTTAAACTTTCATTTATATCAGTTGATTAGTTTTTAAAATATCTTGTCTAGAACGTTTGCTCTAAAATCCTTTAATTGGTCCTCACATCCACACCCTACAGTACTCCGGACAATCACCAAACTTTAATCATTTCTTCATTGAGTTATACGTACCTGATCACTCTGTGTTATTTTCAATTATGTCAGTGCAGCCTTTTCTTAAGATATGTTGCACACAAAAAAACATGCAAAACACAAAGGTGTTTTTTTTTACACACACACACACACCCACACACAAGCTTTACATGACTAAAACATATATCTCATGGCGGAGACAATAATAATGATCTGTATAGCACGCATATCCACTGTAAGTGCTCAAGGCACTATTAGCTAACAGAAACTAGTCTCTGTAATTGTAATATCATTATCATCAAAATGAATTATTTTTTTTTTATTACTTACAGTTTAACTTGGAAAATATTATAATAAAATAATAAATATGTGTTATATGCTCTGGTTAAAACAGGATAATTAAAATATACATTTAGGGGGGATAAAATAAATTATTAATTATAATAATAATTTATTCATTTTCTAAATAGCAACAGCAAAGCTTTCAAAATCCTCATAAATATAATAATATAATAAATATAATAAATAATCTAACCCAATGAATTTTACAACAATAATAATTTTCTCTTAATTCATGGAAAACTTACGAATAAATAATTTAGAAAATATTCAAAATTTAACAATTTAAATGGTATTTATTGTATATATAATAGATTTAGGCTATTTGGTAATAAATTATCTGCTAATGAACACAATTTGAATTTATTTGGGCAATCCTAATTTAGGCTTTCAACTCGTAATGAGTAATTCGTAAAAATCTGATACTGGTACGGGCCTTTATGATGCACCTTCCTTGAGGTTATAAAGGGCAATTTTTTTCCCTGATCATTGGGTCCACATGCTTTAAGTGTTGTTGCTGGTAATTAGTGCAGGAGCAGGCTATCCTACCAGGTACTGATACCATTTATATTAGTAGTAAGTGGTATCAAAGGCCAAACAAACTGAATTCAAAATTTATTCTGTACTGAATGTTCTTTCCTCAGTATAACTATAAATTACCCAAAGCACCTAAAATAATCTATGTTAAACCTGTAGCCAAAACATTAACATATATATATAAATTTTAAAAGGCAAATAGGAAAAACCCATAAAACAGCAAACGGCCACATAATGCAAAACTATTTAAAATTAAAACGGAAAAGTAGAGAAAATCCAATCAGAATGACAAAATAAACTAAGCATCCACTGGAAGGAATCCCAATATCTCCCAATCCGAATATCGGATATGTTTCGGCCTACCAGGCCTCATCAGTGCAGCTAGGGTATAGACCCAAACGAAACGTTCGACCAGCTTAGGTAGGGCCCAAACTAGTCCCACGACCACTAATGATTACAGAGCCAAACCAAGGCAATATATATACATAGCCCAGATGTGAATGCAAATAGTGGAATACAAGCTATGTGGCTCGGTTCCAGTAAAT